TTGAATTTGGTCATCAAATAGCTTATTTTTACCCTCTGTTTTTCAGAGGCACATTATAAAAATTGTGAATGAGCCATTTTATTTATGATTAGTTTATTATTTTTTATTGCCAGCTTGTAATATCCTTTGGATGTTTTTCTACTTTTTGAAAAGCATGAAGAATATTTACTGATTATTTGTGATTTTTAAAGTACCTGTATTTATTCAGATCCAAGATGAGTCTATTTCCCCATTCAGCATGGGGGGAAAAAGCCCCATTGTCATGGATTCTAATACAAAGTAGGGGTAGGAGTAGGGGTAGGAGTAGGGGCAGGTTTTGACTCTGGCCCTGGCCTTGCTCCGGGCTCAGGGTTGGAGTTGGCGTCACAGCCACCTACTCCCCCTGTCTGCTCCCTGTAGCTTCTCTCTCCCTGTGCCCCCTGGTACTTATCTCCCACCTATCCCCCACAGCCTGTACCCCCATTTGCCGCTTACTGTCACGTGGGGCTCTGGCCCCATTCTGGGCTGTGGCAAGTACCTCGTAGCTCCAGCCCTGGCCCAGCAATGCAGCAGAAGCAGTGCTGGCAGCAGCTCGGGGGTCCTGGAGCTGCTGCATGGTATGGAGGCTGTGGAGGGCAGGCAGGGGGCAGAGGCTGGAGAGAGCAGAGGTGGTGGGCTTTGGGCACTGCAGCAGGGGGAAGGTGATGGAGGGGAGCCAAATGGGGTGCCAGGCAGTAGAGGGGACAAGTTGGAGGGGGCAGGCAAGAGGCAGGTGTCAGGTCTACCTGCCCCGTGCCCCTTCCCTGCCTCCACCCTGCCCCTGCTTTCCATGTTGTAGCAGCAGGGGGACAAATTTAAGTTGACTGCCCAATAATTAGATTCTATACATGGAAAATTGCAACAAATTCATACATTTCCCATGTATAGAATCTAATTATTGGAGCACTTCCTAAATTCGAAGTCATCTTGGATTTGGATACATACAGTAGTATATAAGGGTGAAAAGTCTGGAGATGGAAAAAGAGTTCCAGTGTTTTGTGCCTGAGTTTGCAACATCCTACATGCAAGTGTTTATGTCTGTCCCTTTATACAGGGAACAGCATCATAGTAATTACGTACCTGATGCAGTTATAAAGGTTTGCTATGAATCGTTCTGTTGTGAAAAGGGCTAACTAAAGAGCAGGATGTTACATTTTGAGTTGAGGGTGCTTAGGGACACTGATTCTGTTCTCTTTGGGGCATGAGTTTGACTTGTGGCCTACGTACTGAGAGGCTTCCGCCTCCTGTGAGTATGACTGACTTCTAAAGCTGGCAGTCCTATTATTCAAGTAAACTTCCATACCCAGATTAGGACCTGTTGTTTGTAAGTCCAGTATCATTCAATGGGCATGCCTGGTGTTATTCCAATAAGACTGTATAACTCCCATTGATTTTAATTTGGTCATGTAAAGCTGTGATTGAAGTATCCTTAAGAGTGCTAAGTGAAATGATCAATTACCATTTTTCTGCTGTGAATTATTTTTCCTCAGTGTTTTTTCTTTCTTTTATTAATAGCTGCTTAAGAAGAAAGCCATACAACAATTTGAACCCATGATATTCTGCTGCTTAAATCTATGTTGCAGAATAATTACATTTTTAAAAGCATAAAGGCAAAAAGGTGTTAATTCTTAGCAGCACTATTGTGTAGGAGAGATTTAATATACTAACAAAAGAATTAAGAATTGCAAAGATCCAGTAAAAATTAGGTATGGTACTACTAAGGGAAGGTAAATAAAAACTGTCATCAAATGCACTTGCCCATTGCTAGTACAAATTAATAATTTGATTTGTATTATAAATACAAACACAATCATTTGATGGATGAGTTCCATAACTTAGTTAAAATGTGGTGAGTAGAGATACCCATAAAGATGCAAAACAAATCTAATATTTTTTTTGTCAGAGCTTGCATCTCTGATTTAGAAAAGAAAAAAAAATCTCATTTTGGCAGACAAGTAGAATAGTAGAGCCCATAGTCTAAAGATATCTTGTTTTACAGTTGAGTTGAAGAATGGGAAAATTAAGAGGAATTGATCTTTTCTCCTGTTTGCCTGTCTAATCCCAGATATCCTGGGATAGTCAAGAAAATCCAAAATATTAACTAGTCTTTCAGATGCCACTGAATGTTTGAAACAAACGTGGAATAAACTAAAACTGTTAATCTTCTGTTGTGCATGATTTAATATATAGAATCATTTTTAATGTTTACATACAAGTATGGAAATTTGCTCTTCAAGGAAAATATGCAGATTTTTTGTTTTGGAGGAAGGAAGGAAAAAGGATTGGTTGGTAGAACTTGCCCAACGACTATGAATAAAGCCATCATGCATTAATTAAGTATTCCTGCTCTTGCTCAAAATGTAAAGCTACTAAATTGACTCCCAAGACAAGAATTGTTGCTAGAAATGGCTGAGGGTAATGACTGGGAGGAAAATGAGGAGGTCCTGTTGCACCTGAGGGTAATTGGACCTGGAGGATACTTAACTGCATGTTAATTCTCTCCTTTTCCCAAAAATCCTATTTATATTGGCTGTAATCATTTATCATAGAAGCCAATTAGAGTTAATCACTGAATTCAGCAGAGCAGGATAAAGTCTACTGTCTGTAGCAGACTTTTTTTGGATCAGTTCTTAATAAAAAGAGATATGCAAACTGTTAACTATATATGGTTCATTTTGGATGTGCACTGTACCCTGGATACCAATGTACAGTAGACAAAGGAGAATATTACAGAAGAAGCAGGAAACAAAGAGGCTGGCTAACTTTCAGAGTGTGTTCAAATAAATTGCAATTTATGAGCTGCTGCTCTGTAAAAACTCTGAAATTATTTTAAGTACATTTTGAAACTTCAACAATATAATTTTTCCCCAATATGTGACACGTTACAACAGTACCTCTAAGTTATCTTGGTTTTTTCACTTGAGCAAGGTAATTCTGTAGGTAGATAATTGTAGTAGTTACATTCACATTTAATAAAAAATGTCAAAGGTTCATACCAAGCCTACTGGCCTATTGGGCTAATGTGGTTAAGGTACTCCAACAGAAGATGAACAAGGGCACTTACACACATGTGGGGAGCCTGCTTCGACATGTGGGAAATCCAGCACGCCAGAGCAGCCTCAATTAATCAAATCTGCTCAAGCATGTAAATCGACGCACACTGGCAGCCTTGCACATCATGTGTATCAGTGGCACAGTGTGCATCAGTGCTGAGAAAATGGCTAAAACATGTTCAATGTGTTTTAGCTCAAAGCACACCACCGCCATTTTCTCAGTACTGATGTGTGCTGCGCCTCTGATGCACTTATTCCTGATGTAGCGCTGGGTGCTTTAAATCAACATGGCTTGCTAATTAAAAGCGCCTGGTGCTGTGTCAGGGGCACACGTAAAAATGCCTGACGTGACATGTCTGGCCTTCTTGACTTTCTGGGTCTGAATCACCATTTGAAATGAGTGGGGATGGCTTTGAACATAAGTCTGTAACAAATGTGGGTTCTGAATTTGTAGTGATACTTAAGTGTTCTGCCACTATATTCCTTCAAATGTAATAGTATATTCATCAAGTATGATCTCACTATTTGAGGAGAGTGCTAGAATTGAATAACCAATAAAACCTGTATTTGTTTTTTTGTTGTTGTCATTGTAGCTGATTGGAGCATTTGTTCTGGCTGTTGGAATTTATGCAGAAGTTGAAAGACAGAAATACAAAACACTTGAAAGTGCCTTTTTAGCCCCAGCAATTATTTTAATACTCTTGGGCATTGTGATGTTCTTCGTATCCTTCATGGGTGTCCTGGCTTCTTTAAGAGATAATTTATGTCTTCTTCAAGCAGTAAGTACTCACATTTTAAAATGAATTATTTAATAGTTTTAAAAAAATGTTGCTTGAAGCCAGTCTCCATAATTTCTCCATCTGATTTCTTTATTTTATAAACAGTTTGAGATAGCTTAGTTAATACTCCCTCCCAACTTTTCAATAAGTATTAGCAAGAGACTATAAAATACAGGTGCATAGACTACTCTAGAAAGAGTTATGATTTATTCTAATGACTCTTTGATTTCACAGGAACATTTTAATGAATCATGTCAATATTTATTTAACGTGTACCGGTTGGATTTTAAAAGTTTTTACCATTGACCTAACTCTGCTCACATATTAAGTCTGTTGAACCCAACAGGCAGAATTAGCCAAATCTGAGCACTTTTGAAAATCCTACCCATGTCTTTATAATTTGGCAAGTGAACAACTGACATGCAAAATATCAAATAGCAAGTAAGGCCAGATTGTTTATCTCAGTTAAACTACTCTACATGTCTGTAGTATATATTTACTAATTCATAGATTTCCATGCCCATGATAACTGGACACACTTCATGTACAGTGAAATTAGAACCAAATGATATCTTTTAAAACCTAAAGTAGATCTTCTATGGCAGTAATTCCAAATGTTCCAATCTATGTCAGATAAAAATAGTCAGCAAACTGTATTGCAATAAATTCTAGGGCCTGCAGTGAAAGAAAAGCCTAAATGAAAGAACATTTTATATTTCACCCTGAAAAAGGTGTGTGCTTGGTAATATCAATGTCAAAGGATATCAAATGAGTATGCCTTATCCCAAACTTCTATGAGGTACATGCTTAAGAAAGATACCTGAAGTGTTCTTTGCATAGGTCACTGATAAGGCAGGATATAAGGAGGCAGTCTTTGAGGTAATTGGAACTTAGACAATTAAGGATTTTGTAGATGATAACCAGGATCAGCATGGCCAGATGTAGGAATTTGAAAAAGGGGGTGCAGGAGATGCCACTAGCACAGCAGGGTGGTTGCAGTCCTGCCCCCCGCATCACCTCCAGCAGACAGAGTGCACGAGGGCAGCAACTGCTAGGGGTTATGAATACCCAAATCAAGTAAGACTCTCTTCCTTCCCCTTTTGGCACCCCCT